AAAGCTCGAAATATTCGACTAGGCTTTGCTCCAGGCCCCGCTGACTTGACAGTTGCCAGTAGCACGGCTGCCCGTAGCATAAACTCCAGTGATTTCAGTCAGGCAGTTTTGCTTGATCGAAGCTCCTCAGAAGATCGAGGTGGTTTTCAGGTTGCTGGACAGCTACGGTTGCAAGCTTTGGGGTCTGGCTCTTTTGCTTCATTGTCAGCAGACGCCATGTTCGGGACAGCTTCATTCATTGTGGCTGATCGGTGGCACTTTCTCACCATAGCCTTCGTGCTTCAGGTTCCAGTGCTTGCAAATGAGCTCCTTGTTGTATACCCGGCCACTGGAGTGGACCTGGGAGATGAAGTTGAAGTCGCCTTGGGTTTGGCAGCGCTTGGCTCTAATTTTTCAACAAGCCTTTGGGATTTGTCGGACCATGTGGATGACATTTTCAGCGTTCACAACCAGCTGAACTTGCAGCGACCTTCATACAGCCAGCGCCTTGACCTCGTGTTTTCATCACCGCCTACAGCTCTTCCAGCCAATCAAGTGGCCTCTGTCCAACTCTATGCCCGAGCTCGGTTTGTCCCTTCAAGTAGTCAGAGTGGATGGCTCTTGCTAACAAGCCGCCGTAAGGCTTGGGCCCAGGTGGGAGTTACGAACACAAACATCGAGCTGTGGCCAGAAGGGCAGCTGCAAGTTGTTCCGTCCTTTGATCCTCGGACAACTATGGTTTCATCTTCCAGCACTGCAAGCTCTGCACTCATCCTTGTCACTCTGTTATTTGTTCCATCAATTCAGATACAGAGTGGATCGTGGCTGCGAGTTACAGCCCCAGACATGTTCGTGTGGTATGGCCCTTGCCTTGAGGGGAGCACTCCACCAGGTCTTGTGAAAACCGATCAGTGCAAGCGGGGCCTTGCTCCACATATTCTACTTTTGCTGCTAATTTTGGATCTTGAGCCAGGCACAGCTGCAGAACTTTGGATGCAGGTTCTGACACCTCCACAGTTGTCGTGGCCCAACCTTTGGGAAGTTGCAGCCCTTCAGATGGAAGAAAGCGAGGAAGGCACAACCAGCACTGCCTCCACAACAAAGCCGGGCTTCTTTCCGCCTATGGACGCAAAAGTGGGAGAGAGAGACTTGCAAGGGTCACAAAGCAGCGTTCTGCCACTGCAGCTTACCAGGCTTGATGGATTTCAATTGGATGGATTGGAAGCTGCCCTTGGGCCAATGAAGCCTCTCATTGCATCCGATGAGGCTGGTGTCAACCCGCTTCTTCTGTCCTTTCGACTCCGGGCTGCTCCGCAACTGCTGTTTGAAGAGCTGCAATTAGCTGCAACACCACTGCGGGTGAAGCTGACCGCTCCTTACCCGGTAGTTGTCATGTGCCCTAGCCCACACATGGTTGGCGTGGAAGGGGAAAGCCGAAATGGAACAATGCTCTATGAGAGCAATGTGTCAAGCAGAGGATGGCGGCTACTGTCCACACAACAAAGGCTTGCCCGCCTTGTGCGATGCACACCGCTGGGTTGGCGTGGAGAGCCTGAAGCTGGAGAAGAAGCTACTGCTTCGGCCACTTCACAGAGTCCAGGACTTGCTTCAACTGAATCTAGCTTTGTGGTGATGGAGATAGGTTCCCCAATGCAAATTGGTGATGATGAATGGGTGGCTCTGCCAGTGCAGGCCCATGCTCGGGATCAGCTCCTTGCAGAAAAAGCCAGCCGGTCCTGGGCACTGGAGCTTTTGGGAGATTATATTTTGGCCAGAACGGAATTGGTTGGTGGTACTCCGAATAGGCTTATGGCTTTCCAAGCTCCGCTTTCACCTTTGCCACTTTCCTTGTCCCTTGGCAGGTGCAGTGGGCCATTCTGTGCCGCACTTGCAGCTGACAGCACACAAGAAGCCTTCCCAGCAGCAGCGCTATTAGTTGGTCGAGGGCGAGGTGTCAGAATTGATTTTGCCATATCACTGTCCAAAGCACTGAAGCCAACAGCCGCTGGACTTGCAGGAAGCCGCTGGACAAGGGCCTTCAATGGTAGGAGTGAATTTAATGCGGACATTGTTCTAGGCAGCTTCATTCAACTCACAGCTCCACAGCCTTTGAAGTGGCTGAATGATTGCAGTATTGCCAACACCTCTGGCTTTTCGCCAGGGATTTGGCGTTGTGTTTGTGACGGAAATAGTGCGTACCTGCACATCATGGGATACTCCCAAGCTCCCTCCATTCCTTTGCGAGAAGTCCTGACCATTCAAGGCGTGTCCCTAGCTAGTGTGGATGCTGAGAATGCTGTGGCAACGTTGCCACTCTCCACACTTTGGGTAGCAGCTTGGTATGAGGATGGCGCTCTTCTACACCAGTTACTGGTGGAGAGCCACTGGACCGAGGACGTCCTGGACATGAGCCTCCGGGAAGAATTGTCTGAAGAATCCAATGGCACCGATCAGTCGAGTCAATCAAGTGCTCATGAACAGGTTGCAACAGTTGAATTGGAGCAGGACTCGCAGGATTTAGAGGAATGCCTTCAGATTGAGCGATCATATTACCCCTGTCCGCGAGGCATGTATGCCTATGGCATACGGGCTGTTAGCTTGGGGGGCCTCAGATTCGCTCAACAGCGTACAGCTTCTTTGCCGTGAGGAGCTGGACATTGGCACCAACCACACTCAATGGCAGCCGCGTTCGGGAGCAACTGGAGTGATCGGCAATAGACAGCTTTTGACTTTAGATGCTGCGCATGCCACCCTTGACTCCACAACGACAAAGATTGCTTGTGATGAAGGCGCCTCCGGACTGCTTGTTGGCCTGACGTTCCATGGGCAAGGGCTGACAGCCGCGTGCATGCCTTGGGCCCTAGTGGAGCGTGAGATGTCCTGGCTGGAGAGTGGTGAAGAATCAAGCAGTTTAGGGGCAGAGAGCCCCGCAGGAAACTGCACGGGCTTAGTGCCCATCAATGGTTCAGAAAATTGGGCAGACTGCCAGGGGATCCAGCACTTGAGACCATGTCCAAATCCAGACAAATGTTGTTGCAACAAAAACTTCCAGTACAGCGAGCTGTCCCAGACTTGCGACGCCTGCCAGCAACAGGATTCAGCAGATGTAAAAGAACAAATGCGCCTTTGCCCTCTGGGCATGGCAGTGGTCGGCCTTGATGCGTGGGAGTCACAAATAGAACATGAAGATCTGCCTTCACCGCTTCTCATTTCCACAATTTGTTCGCTGCGTTTGCATTGTGGCCCGCTAAATTTGAGGCACTGGTCTGGCATGGACAAAGGACCCAAAGTTTCTGCTTTTTGGGAGCCATTGGTTGAAGATGCTGGCCTTGAATTGCCAGGCCTTGCGAATCTTGGCAGTTTTGAATGGTGGCATTATGCAGCTGCAGCGGGTGCAGCACTTCTTCTTTTGTGCTGCTGTTACCGTTGCTGCTGCCGCACTTCGCAGGCGAATGTTTTTGGTGACGTTCAGCCTAAGAGCAAAGTGAGCCAGAGACGAGTCCTTGGACTCGTGATATTGCCATTCTCCCTTGCATGGGGTTTTGCGATTAAGCCCGTGGCCGCTGCAATATTTACTTTTATCCTCGAACCTTTCTGGCGACGAGCCTTGCAACCGGTCTTGGCGTGGCTACTGGCCAGCAGATTGGCACGTATCATTGGTGGTATTCTAAGACGATTGTGGAAACTCTTGACCTATTGTTGCCCGTGTCTTCGGAGATTTGAGAGGTTCTCCGCAAAGCAACTCTGGCAAACAATTCGGAACCCTGTCGCTGCAAGTAAGAATGCGCGAGCTAAAGTGGCACGTCGTTTGGAACTTCGCAGGCAAGTCATGGCCGGAACTTTTTCGGCAGAGAAGTCGAAAGATGACTTGGTAAACCAACTGAAGCGGGGAGAGATCGACGAGGATGAGCTCGCAATCCGTCAACGGGAGATTGACGACTTGGTGAAGACAGTGCAGCTCATGTCAGACAAGAAGTCCATGGTGGATAGGATGAAGAAATCAAAAGAGTCGCTGAAGTCTCTGGGAAAAGCCTCAAAAGAGCCATCCCACAACCCTGATGAGGAAGGTTCGCAGCCAAAAGGTGTTGCCTTCTGTTGCTGCAGACGATTGCCAACTAAGAGCATTGATGAAGAAGATTTTGATATCCCTCAGGCTCATGTAGAAGTTGAAACCGAAGCGCAGCCTGATGAAAAGCTGCCTCAAGAAGGTAAGGACAATGATGAGGGGGGGAACTTTTGGCGAGGAGGAATGGGAAGAAGAAGGTGTGGACGATGATGAAATTGTGGACCCATCCAGTTCGAGTGACTCATCCACATCCAGTGACCATCAAGCTCCTGGTCCAGTCTCTGCTCGTCCAAGGGAGCCAAATACATCAAGGCTATGATGCTAAAGCCAAAGTTGCTAAAGCCACAGCCTAGCAGAGGTCATAATGCTGAACCAAGCAGTTGCAGTTCCATCAGCTTGCCCAGCTCACAGCTGTTCATCATGAAGATCGCAGGGCACACTGCCACCAGACCAAGCCCGGATGTCCCCAAACTACTTAGACTCCACTGTGCCTCTGAACTGGTAGACTCGGACATCACCAAGGACGACTATTCCCACAATCGCCCATTCTGTCAATCCACACGTCGAGGCTGCCCCTATCCCTGGAAGCTGCTTTTGGTAGGCGCAGCTCGACAACCTCCTCCACGGTGCGCGGAGCCCATCAACTTGAAATTTTGAGGCAAAAAGGGCGTCACATAGCCTGAATCTACCGCTTACTGGCAGGTGGTGTTGGCAGAGAGCTTCTCCTTAGGTGCCGCGTGCTTCCAACCCTATCATAAAGTGAAGGACGAATAACGTGGCAGTGGGACAACCTCGGACAGTGCGCTGCTTAATATTTTTGATCTATGGTGGTCTGAGAAGTCATTCCCCGCTGAACTTGTCAGATGTACTTGCTAGTGTCACCATTTCGAAGACCTTGGCTTTTAATAGCTTGCGGTCTTTTGACATATGTTGAGCGAGAGGGAATAGCTTCGCAGCTGCTTCGGCTCAGCTCTCATGGCTGTCAGGACCTTCGGGCATTGTGTGACTGGAAGCTTGGACCTGATCGGTATTGTTGCGATTTGTTTGATCTACATTCCATTGAGCGCCAGCTCTTCGGTGCCAGAGGCAGCGGTGTTCAGACATTACAACAAAGAACGTCCGATTTCATATGGCATTCAGCTCCCAGAAGGGAGGGCTCCATTTGCCTTTGGCCATGTGTTGGCAGAAGACTTGATGTCTTATCTGCAAGAAGATCCACATGGACCCTTTCTCAACCAAAGTGTGCCACTTGTGAAATGGGGGTTTGAAGAGGATACTATCAATGAAGAGTTAGAATCTATTTGGAAGGCAGACTGGCATGCAACAGCATTCTGGGGAACTTCCAAAATTTTTGTTCCAAGAGTGGACAAATTCTTACCATCAAGGCAGCCGCCGCTCCGGATTTTGGCCTTCCTTGAGGCCTTCCGTCAGGTGTCTGGTCGGGCGTGGAGTCGGATTCTGGATGGTCTCCAGAGCTTGAGTCGAAGCGATGAAGAACTTGAGCTAAAAGAAATCGTGAGGATCTTTTGCAAGAGTCTTCGGGAGCAAAGTCATTTTTGCGGAGTTGAGGCTCAAATATGGCAAGGTGGCCAGTTGGTGATGGATTCTCACACGGATGGTGCCACATCATTGCTGCACCTAAGCCTGACTCTAGGAGGGCACAGAACTCTTCGAATTGGCCACTTCAAAGAGCGGCACTCACCATACAGACCACAGGACAACAGGAGAAGAGGCAGACCACCAGGGGATGAAGTCAGTGTCTGGAATGAGGCTGCATATGCCCAAGACGAGCTGTGGGATATTCCTCAATCAACGGGAAGCGTCTACTTGACTTCTCCTTTTTGCTTCGAGCATGGGGTGAGGTATGAGGGTGATGCACCAGTCTTTGCGCTTCAGTGCTTTGTCTACAGTCAGTCCATTGAAAAAAAAACACATGCTGAATCAGAAGTGTCCTGCCCACGCATTTCTGAGGTGCCGCTTTGCTTTTGCCAACTTCTCTGAAGCACAACTGGTTAACGGGCAGCGAACTGGCAATATGCGTCATGTGCCTGGATTTCTGATGTCATGGTTGTGTGCATGATTTCTCAACCTTGACGAGAGGGTGGAACTTTTTGAGACTGTAAGGCCGAGTAGCTGAAGTTGTTTCCGATGCTCTCGTGACAGCTGTGGATAAGATCGAATTGCGACTGCCAACTTTGGAAGAGCACTTTGCTTGAACATTTGGTGTCCCAATTATGGTCTAATGTTTTGCAATGTTTCGGTTGGTGTTTTCTGAGGGTCAGAGCAGTTGAAGAGCAGCTTATCATCAATGAGCAGCTGCGCCCAGTGGTGCACACCTCAGTTCTTTCTTTGGCAAATGCATGCGAAAAAGAGCAGGGCAAGCAAAAGGGGTACTTTAGCCTTGCCTCATGGTGCAGATGTTGCACGAGTGCTGCTCGCAATGAAATCCATGTACAGCTGCTTCCACATCTGCGCGCTGGACATAGAGCTCTGAAGAAGAACTTGTATATAGTTGGCTTTTTCTCAAAGTCCGAGGTGAACATGTTTGTAAGTGATTTATATCGGGTGAAGATGCTTGACCATGGCGGCCAGACCCCTGCTACCATCCCACTGCGTCCACCGGAAGAGGTTCGAAGTATAAGGCCCCTGAACGTTCCACAGAAAAAGGTGTCAGGAGGCAAATTCCATGCAGGTTCATCCAGGGGATTGGGTGAGGTTCCAAGTGTCAGTTGCAGATGCACAAGTTTAAGCTCAATGGCGTTCGTGCTTTTCACAAAGTTGCTTGCACTTATTTTTGTATGCACTTCGTTCGGTATCACATAGTTGCTTGCAGTGTCTCACTTCTTTTGTCTCACTTCTGCGTATGTACAAAGGACCATTTATTAAATACTTAAGTACGACCTTAGTCGTGAATACATCGACCATGACCAAGGCAAGAACATGCACAGGGGTTAGGACAATTGTGTTTGTTTGGGTTTCCTTTGTGCTTCCTACTTGACCCCAGGTCTCACGCTTGTCACTTGCATTTGCATTATCCCTTCGGGGCCATGGAAAAAACACAATAGCAATGAAGGCAGCAAACATGTATGACAATGTATGACACACACATATATATATATATATGTTGGTGTATCACCCGGCACTATGCAACATGAACTGAATAGGTGCCGGTTCAGCAGATATGTATTGTGGACAGACAGGCAGACAGACAGGCAGCCAACCAGGCAGGCAGGCAGACAGACAGACATACATACACAAACAGAGAGGCCACAGTAGCCACAGGCACGATTTACGGTGTTCATTATTGAGTTAGAACTAAAGCCGACAACACCAACATCACCTAAACGTTGCCTTCCCAATCATGTGACAACACCCCATGCTAGCATACTTTTTGCAAGCAAGTTACTGCACTTCGCCCAACGAACTGTTACATTAGTTTAGAGCACTTGCCTTTGCGTAGCCTAGAATGACGGAGGGCTAGGCTCCAGACAGGGGCGAGAGAGAGAGAGAGAGTGAAAGAGAGAAAGAGAATAAAGAAAGAAAGAACAAAAGAAAGAAAGACAGAAAGACAGAAATACAGAAAGATAAAGAAAGCAAGAAAGGAAGAAAGGAAGAAAGAACAAAAGAAGGAAAGAACGAAAGAAAGACAGAAAGACAGAAAGAAAGAGAAAGAAAGAAACAGAAAGAAACAGAAAGAAAGAGAGAAAGAAAGAGACAGAGAGGGAGAGAGGGAATTGAGAGAGTGGGAGAGGGGGAGGCACCGCGCACTGGGGACAGATGTGGGGCACGTTCAGTTGTCAGCTGCCAGCCGGTGCATGCCATGTCTCAGGCTCAACACGCAATGCACGCTCTTCAGGCTTGGAACGGTGGTTTGTTGCATTTGTTTCCATTTTTATTGCCGAACTTTGACGAGCAAACGGGTGTGATTGTGATCAGTTGCAGCGGTAAAATCAATCAAACTGTTCGGCGGTTTGTGCAAGGTTCGGTTTGTGCTTGAGGCATTGAACTCTTCCAATACCAAAGCAAGATGGCATGGACTGCCCAGCACCCCAATGGCATCTCAGCTGAGCATCACGAATGCACATTTGTTGTTTTTTCCTGTGTGGACTGGACAAGCGGAGCCGTCAGGCTGGTGCATTTGTTGCCCTTTTGTGTGGCCGAATGATGTGGCGCTATGGTCAAAGGTTACTAAAAAGGAGCGAAGAAGAAGAAGAAGAAGGAGAAGAAGAAGAAGAAGGCCAGCCAGAAGCCTGAGCCGAGAGCAAGATACTAGCAGGGGCATTGCAAGAATCATCATTTGTGCTCACATTAAGATTGTGCCCCTTGAGCGTGGAAGACAGCTGTGGTGCTCACAGGAGTTTGTCCCTTCATGCCTACATGGTTGTGGTACTTCTTTGGGAGCCATTGCTTTGGATGTGCAAGGTTTGTCGCAGTGTTTTCGCAGATGTGCACTATTGTTTGCCTGAGGGGCTTTTTAAATCCTAAGAGCGAGAGACGGAGTTGGCAGTGGAGTTGGCGTGTTGGCTCAAAAAGATGCAGCATAGTCAACATTGGGGATTTGAGCCCCCCTGAACACCACTAAAGCCAATGTAAGTATAGATGTCGTCTACTTTGGCTTTCTCCAGTGGAAATGAGCACAAATACGGCAAAAAGTGAAAACACAAACTTAAAGGTTTGCAGGTCAAGGCGGTGCTGGGCCCTGTTTGAACTTCGGCTTTGGTCAGAAGAGAAGATAAACCCACTGAGTACATAAAGGGACACACATGACCGGGTCGTGCAACGGCTGGTGTGCTATTTTGTTTTCCTGTATGTTTGTGCGAACCTGGCTGCCGAATGGTGGCGCCTGCCATTTCACAGGCATTAGCCCTTAGCACATGTTGATTGATAGATGTGTACTTACGGAGGGCATGTCCGTGACTTTTTGACAGCCAAGGTGAAACAGAAGAGGCACATTTTTGAGGTGTTTTTGACTTTTTTGTGTTTAGTATGACCAGCTGGTAGGTTGAGAGCAGTTCTTCCAGTTCCGGAAGTTCGGACACCACAGATAGCGATGTCGACCCTACATCTCCCCTGCCTGCTCCAGCTCGAGGTCAGTATTCCCAGAGTATAACTGTGGATTTCTGCGCATGTTTGAGATCAGCACATTGACGTGCTTGACAAGGCAATATCAATACCAGTACAGAGAAGAAGGCGTGATGAACTTTCGACTCATGCAGTGTGGTTCAAAACGTGATTTCGGCAGGTGCCAAAGCAAACAAAGATAGAGATCAAGAGCGAAAGCCAGAGCTCGGAGGACAGAAACAGCAGCTCCAGCGGCAGCAGCAGCAGCAGCAGCAGCTCCAGCAGCGAGGAGGACCGAGAATACAACCAATTGATATGCGTGGGCCTTTCTCATGAGCAGACGGCGGCAATTGTGCCATAAGACCGCGAGCGCGCGACAGAGAGAGAGAGAGAGAGAGAGAGAGAGAGAGGGGGGGGAGAGAGGCAGAGAGGGAGAGAGGCAGAGAGAGAGAGAGAGAGGGAGAGAGCGAGAGAGAGAGAGGGAGAGAGCGAGAGAGAGAGAGAGAGAGAGAGCGAGAGAGGGCGAGAGGGAGAGAGAGGTTGTGCCCAGTGCCCGAGCTTGGTTTGACTGAACTTGGAGATTTGAACACTCCGTCTGGGCTGGAATATCATTTTGACAATCCAAAGGCTGTCACGGTGGAGATAGGCATAGGTATCAAAAAATATTTACCGAATCAAAAAAATAAAATTTACTGAATCAATAAAAACATATTCGTTGTGCGATGAAATCCATTCAAATTCCCAGTCGTGTAGGTGGCCGGTCCTCTGGTCCGCTGGTCCCCTGGTCCTCTGGTCCTCTGGTCCGCTGGTCCTTTGGTCCTGGTCCGCTGGTCCCCTGCAGTCCGCTGGTCCACTGGTCCGCTAGTCCCTTGGTCCTCTGGTCCTTCGTCTTTCTTTCTTTCTTTCTTTCTTTCTTTTTCGCAGCTGTTCTACTTTCTCTTTTTTGCTTTTGCTTTTCCTTTTGTTCGCTTTGCAGAGACGAAACCAAACAAGGAAGCAAGCAAGCAAGCAAGCACGAGCTGCTCACCTTTGGATCTGGTGTGCTGCTGGGGGGGGCGCTGCGCCCCCCCCCCAACCC